GGTCGCCTTCCATCTCGTACTCGTCCTCAGACTCGCTGCTCAAATGGCCGTCTATGCGCTCTACCGTAGCCAGTCTAGCTCGCTGTTGTCTCCTAAGTTGGTGGCAGGTGCGTTCAATCTCAGGATCCAACGGCAGTAAACCTCCCGACTGGCTACGGGTCATGCACTATCTGCACACAATCAAGCAATGCAAACCCGTGAAGGCACAAGTGGGAAAGAACAAACACTCAATGCGAAAATGAAAATGCTAAAGTAACAGAAATCACTTTTCTTCAATAACCTAGCCGTCCCCGGCAACGGCGCCAAAAACTTGACTCACACCTACTGTCACTCTAGAAAATGGCCAAGTGCAACCACTTCCTAAAGCGTAGTATAGCGGGTTTGGGTTTTAATGTCAACCCGGGTCCTATATTTGATGACTACTCGGTGAATTCTTGTTATCTAGCAGTGAAACTTTAGTGCAAGTCCAAATTAACAAACAAACAAAGCAAGTTAAACAGTTGTTTTCAAGTCGAGAGAGGTCACCCGGATATGGTTCCCCCTAGACTGCAGTTAAGCCAGATTGCAATTTACCAAGTTCAGTTTTCATGAAAGTTATACTGCGGAAGGTTCTTAAACAGTCTGAAGTCTCGACTAAAGGTCTTCAGACCCTCTCAATCTGAGTCTCCAGCGGGCGACTAACCTCCACCGGAGTAAACAGATTGAGGCCCTAACGAACCAAACCTTCACTACCGAAGTAAATTCGGTACAGAATAATGAATTGGCTCCTCGACTAAAGTCGCCAATTCACTACCTTCAACTAAGGGTGCTCTATCAACCTAGGCAGATATTCTCTTTCTAGGTTAAAGCAGAAACAACAGGAATTTGATCAGGATTCAAGTCATTCAATCATTCAAACCTCAATCGAATATAATCAATTCATAAACTCTGTACTTGGGTTCATACAATCAGACCTAACATACAAATCTAGGGTCCCCCATATCCAGATGAATGGGGAAACTACTCCATGGAGAGAGAAGCAAAAGCAGATTCAGACGCGGAAATCATACTGTGAAGGATGAGTTTCGGCTCCTGGTTGTCAATCGGCACTTCTCCAAGCCCAAGCCGGGCTCCAATGGTGATGAAGATCAAGCTATGGCACTTGGGAACTCTGGTTCGTCGCTTTCTCTCTCTAGGAATCGCTTTGTCTCTCTAAAACTCGGAACCCTTGATTTTCAGCCTTCTTTTCCCTTAAAACTGCTGCCTGTCGCGATACCCGGTCGAAATACCCGGTCGGGTATTTTGGGTCTCGACCGGGTATTATTAAAACGCGCCTTTTGCTTCAGGGAAAAATCCCCGGTCATGTCCAATAATCCCCGACCGGGAATTTAAGCTTCACGCCCGGGCCCCTCTCTGCTTCTCGGCGATGCCAAAATGATAAATACCCGGTCGGGTATTTAACCCCCTGACCGGGTATTTTCCTCCTGCAACCCACTTCGACCCAACTTCGCTCCTTTCGACCCAAAACTCGTTTCTCCGCCTCGATTCCAACGTCGGGTCCTGAAATATGACATAAACGCACAACCTAGCGTGAAATCGGCTTAAAATACGATAATCAACCTCTCAAACGGCTCTAAGGGTAAAAAAATGTGTAATTATCGGTCTATCACCTGCCCTACTCCGGCGGCGGCTTATAGGGTCGTCGACGTCGAACCTTCCTCGCCTTCTTATACCCAGTAAGCATCAGCTTCCGGACGAACCCGTTGCTTCCACGAGGATCCTCATAACCTTCCCCACTAGGTACGACCTTCGAACGTCGCCGACTGGCCTCCAATTGTCTCCGGTCTTCCATCACCTCCTCTGGCGACAGTGGCTGGAGCATATATTGCTTCCCTTGATGCCGGACCTTATACTGGTTTGTGCCACCGTAATGGCAGACTCCCCGATCGAACTGCCAGGGTCTCCCTAATAGTATGTGAGCTGTCTGCATCGGAGCCACATCAAATTCAAGCTCGTCTTTATATCCTCCAATTTCGAAGTGTACTTTGGCCTAATTTGTCACCCGAATTGCCACATAGTCGTTTAACCAATGCAAATTGTAGGGTTCAGGGTGCTTTGTTGTGCTCAATGCAGTCAAAATCGCGCTTTAAAGCGTAAAATCGTACGTTTCTACCTATCTAGACCACAAAAACGCTTCAGTTTCTATCTAAAGTCGCTTAGTACACAAAAACGTAAAAAAAGGTTAGTAAAATCGGTAAAAACGTAAAAATGCGTTTCCACTGCGTTTTTATCATGGTAAAGGAAACCGTACCGGAAGTCATACCGGCTCCGCCAGTGGTAGGGTATTTTGTGGTATTACCGTGGTTCAATTGTTGTGTACCGGCAAAATACCGTTTTTGTAATTAAATAATATTTTTTTGTTAAAAAACCGTACCTGCAGATTTGGGATACCGTTTCGGAATAATACCGGAGTAAAACCGGAATATACCGGATAACAAACCTGAATAAACTAAATAAGCATATGTAATATAAAATTCAACAAACTGCAACATTACTGAATTAACTAAATAATCGTTCAAATGCATGTTTACGATCAAGTACAAAACAACCAAACAACATTCTTACACCACAAGTTCAAACAACATTATCAAACCAAACAACATTCTCAAACCACAAGTTCACAACTACCACAAACACAAACTAGCAAGCACTACAATGTTCACAAACAACGTTTCATATCCGTCAAACAACACCGCATGTAGATAAGTCTACATTCTGCAAGTCGTCCCCTTCATCTTCTTCATCACCAACTACAATACAAGAGAAAACAAGTAAGAATTATTATCAATTATTAGTATTAGAATTCATATCATACATAATTGATTTACAAACAAACCTTCCTCTTCTAATGCTCGATCCAGCTCGTCAATATCCAATTCATTTTCCCTAGAAGATGAACCTTCTTCCCCTTGTAACAACCAGTGACTAGTAACAGTAGAATCAATGCTTTCAATGCTTATGGGATCATATGATTCTTTTTTGTTCTTGTTATAATACTCCCTAATCATAGTAGAAAACATAAAATAATTCAATTCAATAGAAAGTATGAATTCAATAGGGGTGGGCAACGGGAAACGGGTATTTGGATATACCCGTACCCGTCCCGTTTTTTAAGGGTTACGGGTACCCATATTACCCGTAATATTATAAACGGATGGGACTTGGGATTGTACATTCCTGATATGGGTACCCGCGGGTTACCCGCAAAGACCCATTTGGGTAATATGGGTACCCGTTATACCCATTCAATATGCGACCCACCGTCATTTCTCTACTAATACATGTTTATGTAGTGGGTTTGGGATGTAATTGTCTTTAGCTAAAACATCATCTGGTTTTAGGGACATGTTTTGAAATGAATGCTTGTGTATATAGAGATTGAATTTATGTTTTTGATCATATTGTGTTCTTATTATTCCCCGCAAGAGCATGTTATTATAAAGAATGCTTGTGTATATAGAGATTGAATTTATGTTTTTGATCATATCGTGTTCTTATTATTCCCCGCAAGAGCGCGTTATTATAAAGATATGTAATGTGATGTCATTTAAACTTTGGGTATTTATGGGTAGTATGGGTACCCGTTATCCGTCCCGTACGGATAATGGGTACCCGTTTCCCTTATGGGTTTGGGATATGGGATGGACTTTAGTCTCCAAATGGGACTGGGTATCCGTTTAAAACGGGACGGGTATCCCGACCCGTCCCGTTGCCCACCCCTAGAATTCAACACACAAGTTCTATAATTCAAATCATTACCTATTCTGCAATCGCAAGTTGTAATTCACAAACACCAAGTCACTAAGCACTTTATGCTGCAATCTGTTTCTTCTTTTGGTATGCACACGTTCAAAGACACTCCAATTACGTTCACAACTAGAAGAAGCAGCAGTTTGACTAAGAATTCGAATAGCCAACTTCTGAATATTTGGATCATCAATGCCAAACCATTTCCACCACTTATCTACATATAAAACATAGATGTTAGTTTCTTAAATATTGTAATAAATAGAAGAACTTCAATGTAAGTGATATCAATTACCTGGTTGTTGTTTCTGTGCAGAATCTATTGCCAACTTCCTCCCAAAGTTTCCTTCCTTTTCAGCATACAAATTCATCTCCGCCACCACCACACTATTATCAGGACATAAAGACGAGTTCTCAAGAAGATTAAGAAGTCCAAATGTCACCGCCCTATCCTCTGTCCAATCTTCAGCATACTTCATAGCCGGATTAAGATAGTGAGCTGCCATAAACAAATCATGGCTCAAGTGCTTATCCCATCTCGTATTAACGATATCCATGTATGATTTGTACATCTCCTCCTTATCTCCACAAACAGTCTTAATAGCATTTGACACCCTAGTCATCCCATCATACACATACCCCATTGCTGGTTTACTATTTGAATCCACAACTCGAAGCAACTTAACAATCGGAGCTGTCAACTTAACAATGAATTCACAATCAGCCCAAAACTGTTGATCTAGTACAATTGCCTTCACATCCTTTCCATCCTTAGTACTTGAAAGATCACTTTCTCTAACGAACTCACTAATCACCAGTTCCTCCAAATCATGCATGTGCTCAAAAGTACTCTGCAAACTCAGAAATGTAGTAGCAAATCTAGTAGCACCAGGTCTCACTATTTCTTTCCAATTCTCCTTTGTCTTCAACCAGAAATAAATTGGACCATGATTGAAACACAAATTTGGAGACCTTGGTAGCTCGATAGGCAAGCTTCTTAACATGAGGAATAGATCCAATGTCACTCAGGATCAAGTTAAGAGTATGAGCAACACAAGGAGTCCAATATATATGACCATAATGCTCATGTATCATTGTCCCTGCCAATTTATAGTTGGATGCATTATCGGTCACCACATGAACAACATTTTTCTCTCCAACCCAATCAATGACCTCAGAAAATAACTTAAACAAGTGTCAAAATCAAGCAATAGAACAAGAACACCGGGTTTAACGTGGTTTCCCTGATCAACAGGACTAGTCCACGGGAGAGCAAGCTCTCCAAGTCAATCTTATTCTCCTTGTTTACCAGCATACACGAGCCATATACATATATATAGAGGAATCATAAACCCTAAAGACTAAGGTCTTAATTTGTACAATTACATTTTTGGTACTTATATTTTCAACACCCTCCCTCAAATTGATGTTGGGTGCGTAACATCAATTTGGCTGATAAGTACCAATGTCTGCTTGAAGCTAATGCCTTAGTCAATAGGTCTGCAGTCTGATCATCTGTCGACAAATGATTTAGCTGAATTCTCCCTTCTGCTACAAGCTGTCTGATGTAGTGAATATGAACCTCTATATGTTTTGTTCTATCATGTAGTACTGGGTTGAGAGCTATTTGTATAGCACTTGTGTTGTCGCCAAACAGTTTCATGGGTATGCTGCACTCAACACCCAATTCTCCTAGCAAGCGCTGTAACCAAACCATTTCTGAGCTAACCTCTGACATAGATCGATATTCTGCTTCTGTCGATGATTTGGAAACTCGCTCTTGCTTCTTACACCTCCATGAGACAAATGAGTTTCCCACTTTGATGCACCATCCTGAAGTTGACCGCCTGGTATCCTGACACCCTGCATAGTCTGCATCTGCATATGCTTCCAAGACAGCATCTCCGCCTGCTGGTTCATACAGTATGCTTGAGATATCTAAGTATTCTGTGCACTGCATCTCGGTGTTGTTCACGAGCCACACCCAAGTACTGGCTCACAACCTGCACAGAGTATGCAATATCTGGACGTGTATGAACCAGGTATATCAAGCTTCCCACGATACTGCGATACAAAGATTGGTCTTCTATCAAATCACCACTGTTCTTTCGCAGCTTAATATTTTGTTCCATTGGAGTAGAACAAGGCTTGCAGTCGGCATACTGTGCTGTCTCGAGAAGGTCTGCAATGTGCTTCTTCTGAGAAACAAAGACACCTTTATTTGATCTCTCAACTTCCAATCCAAGGAAGTAGGATACATCACCCAAATCTTTCAGATTGAAGGTTTCGTGTAGAGAATCCTTCAACTCCTGAATTCCTGCTGAATCACTGCCTGAGATGATCATATCATCTACATAAATCAACAAAATAACCACACCTTCTGCTGTATTTCTCACAAACAAGGATGGATCATTCTGGCTCTGCTCAAACCCCAACTGTACAATAGTACTATGGAATTTTTCAAACCAAGCTCGTGGGGCTTTTTTAAGGCCATATAGAGAACGAACCAGCTGACAAACCATATTAGATGAACCCTTAGTGTATCCTGGTGGTCTCTCCATATATATGGTTTCTTTTAGGTCACCATGAAGAAATGCGTTCTTCACGTCTAACTGAAAAAGGGGCCAACCCTTCATTGCTGCCACAGCAAAAATACAACGAACCGTTTGCATTTTAACAACTGGTGCAAACGTTTCATCATAATCAATGCCATATTCTTGAAGAAAACCTCGAGCAACCAGCCGTGCCTTGAATCTTTCAATCGTTCCATCTGGATTCATCTTTATTGTATATATCCAACGACATCCAATTACAGACATACCGGGCTGTCTAAGAACCAGTTTCCACGTCCCATTTGCTTCCAAAGCCTGAGTCTCTTCCACCATTGCATAATTCCACCTAGGATCCATACATGCTTGTTCATACGTAGCTGGTACCATGCATGGCTCTGTAGCATATCCTTCATAGTCTAGTAAGCGCACTGGAGGCTTCCCCAAATTTGTTCGACTTGACCTTCTAGGTTGTGATGGTGAATTAAGTTGCTGCCCATTCCCACCTTGCTGCCCAGAATTTCCTCCAAAGTCACCACTACTTTCTCCTGTCGAGCTACTCTCACCAAATGGAGAACTCATGCCGCTAGTGCCGCTACTACCGGGAGACAAAGAGCTGTCCCTCCCTGACGACGAACCGTCCGTATCCGTTGTCGAGGAAGAGCTGGCCGAAGAACTATGGCCAGAAGAAGATGGCGGTGATGTCGGCGGCGTCCCTCCCTGAGTTCCCATTGCCGTGAGAGGAGGATCATTAACGCTAGGCAAGGTAGTCAACCAGGCCAAGCTATCAGCTGTGGGATGAGTCAAATCACGTTCGCCAGGCGTAGTAGAGTAATACATACTGTCTTCGAGAAAAAGAACATGATATGCAATCCGCATTCGTTTGCCAACTGGATCATAGCAACAGTAACCTTTATGGCGATCACTGTAGCCGAGGAACACACACTTAACCGTCTTTGGGGCAAGCTTATGACGGTCTTTTCGTGGCAATAATACAAAGCAGGTACAGCCAAACACACGTAGAAAGGAGTAATTCGAAGCTCGGGAATACAGGACCTGGTACGGAGAACACTGATCGAGCACCGGAGTGATCTGACGATTGATGAGATACACAATCGTACGTACAGCTTCCACCCAATAACCACTAGGGACATGTGAGTGAAACAGTAATGCTCGTGTCAATTCCAGGACATGTCGGTGTTTACGCTCCACAAGACCATTCTGCTGAGACACTCCTGGACATGACATCTGAGGTAGAATACCTTCGGATTTATAAAACTCGAGCAATTCATGTTTAGTAAATTCACCACCTTCATCAGAACGAATTACTTTAATGGTCTTACCAAACTGTGTCTTAATGAGTTGTACAAACTCCTTAGCAATCGAGCATAATTCCGACTTTTGCCGCAGAAAGAACACCCAAGCATACCGCGTTTTATGATCGATAAACAGAGCAAAGTACTTAAAACCCAAACGCGAGGTAATCGGAGAGGGACCCCACAAATCCGTATGAACAAGATCAAACGGCTCAGCATAAATAGTCTCACTAGAAGAAAAAGAACTTTGAGAAGCCTTAGCTTCAATGCAGCTAACACAATCAGATCGAGACCCAAAAGCCGAATCAATTCTTCCTGGCAATAATTTCTGACGAAACATCGTTAACAATCGTGCAGAATGCAAATGGCCTAAACGACAATGCCATAAATCCCAAACAGACTTATTCTTTGAAAAATCAACCGAATTTACTGAGTTCCCGGACAAAGACCCAAAAACAGAATTCTTATATAGCTTTCCCTCCGACGGATTCGAAACAGCACCAGTAGCTTTAGGAACTTGACCAAGTTCATCCAACACATAGACTCGCCCTTGCTTACTTCCCTTCCCGATCACCATCCCCGTCCTCTGGTCCTGTACCACACAACCGGTTGAATTAAATGTAACATCACAACCAGTCTCAGCTAATTGCCCGACAGAGACGAGATTGGGCATTAAGTTGGGAACATATAATGTATCAGGTAGAGTTACTGAGCCCAAAGACGAAGTACCCCGACCAGCTACAGGAATCTGATCCCCATTAGCCACTCTCAAATGTAAAGTTGAAACCGGTTCGAGCTTATCAAACGTATGACGGGCATGTGTCATGTGATTAAACGCACCAGAGTCTAATAACCATTTAGCAGACTTACCAGAAAATGTGCCTGAGGCAAAGGCGGAGGTCAGCGCCTGTGGAAGCGCCTCTTGTAATGCCTCCTGGACCATTTTCCGGACAAGATCCGGGGAGAAGGAGGAGACCCCCCCCCCCACCAGCGGATGACCCTGAAACAGGTGGAGATGGCTCGGAGACAGCATACGCAGCCCCTTGAGTCTTTGACGAGGATCGGCCAGTCATAGAGGAGCTGCCGGACGACGTAGCATAAGTAGGAAATCGAACCTTGCCCCGTTTTGTGAGCGTGGGACACTCGAGCACGATGTGACCAGCCTTCTTGCAATAGTTGCAATAATTTCGCTTCTTACAATGGATTTGAATATGCCCAGGTTCATGACAATGATGACAGATCAACTCACCACTAGGAGGAGTGTTAAACTATGGACGATGAGAGGAGCCTGAACGTCCAACCGCAAACGCTGAATCAGTAGTCTGATCAATACGAGACTGGCTTTTGAGCCTTGTTTCCTCCCGAACCAGCTCAGCAACAATGGAGTCAAGATCGGTGATACCCCGATGAATCAAAGATGCGCGAATTGGTTCGAACTCCGCCCGCAACTTCATTAAGAATTGCATGACACGCGTACGGGAGCGCTCCTTCAGAACCTCAGTCGAGGCATCACCAGACAATAACGACGCAGTAACCAGGTCAGATTCAGTCCATAAATGAAGCGCATGTTTATAATAACTGCGCACATCCCGATCTCCTTGAGCTAACCCCGCAAGCTCCAACTCAATTTCATAAAGACGAGAGGGATCAGCCTGCGAGTACGTTCCACAGATATGGGTCCACATCTCATGGGCAGTGCGGAACCGACGGAGACTCAACGCAGTTGGAACATCAACAGAATCCAATAACGTAGTGACGACTTGAGCGTTGGAGGCAGCCCAGTCGACCTTTGCCTGCGCATCGGCGGTGTCAGCCGGTTTCTTCCATTCGCCCGTCAAAATCGTGGACAACCGCCGCCCTTCCACAAAGTTGCGGAAGTGAAATTCCCATAATGGAAAATTCTTTCCATCAAACTTAACCGAAACATTGTCTTGCTTTTGAGAAGCCATTCTTAGCAGCTGAACCTAGAAGCAGTAATACCAAGAAACACAAACTTAAGAGTATCGCACCTATCAAACACGGAAGAAAGCCAACGCTGAGAGTGAACGATTGCCGGCCACCAAACGCGAAACCCAAACAGAAATCCTAACTTCCGAACTAAGAAACCCTAGCTGCCGAACCGAGGTCACAAACCTTGCCGAAGAAGAAATAATCAGTCCTTGAATCAGAGAGGCTCTGATACCATGTCAAAATCAAGCAATAGAACAAGAACACCGGGTTTAACGTGGTTTCCCTGATCAACAGGACTAGTCCACGGGAGAGCAAGCTCTCCAAGTCAATCTTATTCTCCTTGTTTACCAGCATACACGAGCCATATACATATATATAGAGGAATCATAAACCCTAAAGACTAAGGTCTTAATTTGTACAATTACATTTTTGGTACTTATATTTTCAACAACAAGTTCCTTCCACTCTTGACCAAACCAGAAGCATCAATGGACTTCACAAAACATGTTCCAGCAGGAGAATACACAAGAAAATTGATTAAGGATCTACGCCTATTATCTGTCCAACCATCCGCCATAATAGTGCATCCAGATTCCTTCCAATGAGACCTCAAACTCTCAATCAATAGGTGACATTCATTCACAATGCTATCCAACAAAGTAAACCTCAAAGCATAATATGTAGGACCGCCATAACCAGGACCAAGAGTCATAGAAGCATCCAATGCTATTTTAAATTGTGGAGATTTAATTGCTTCTAAAGGAACACATGCATCATAGAACCATCTAGCCCATGCTCGATCCACATACAATACAGCTTCTTTAGTTGCTAAGGCACTCTTTATTCCCGGTTGACTACCGGAAGATGACCGTGGAGCAAAGAAAGTGTCAACCGAACCCGTAGACACATTAGGAGCAACTCTTTTAGAACTATTATCATCTTGTGCACTAGAAGAATTTGTATCACGAGGTTCTTTAAATCCAGCTTTGACAACTTCAGATTTCTTCTTACTAGTTTCATAACTAGTCAATAAATTCTGCATGTTTTGGCTCACCTCTTCCGGAACCATTGAGCATATTGCATTATCCCCTTTAACACCAGCTAGATGTTTTTTCATTCTAGTGATTCCTCCGCCTCTAAATTCTTTTTGACAATAGAGACAAGTGAGTACCTCCACTTTTCCATCCATATGCAAGGAACAATGAGCCCAAGTTGGATCACTTTTGCTTCGTACACCCTTTGTGGTAACCTTCGAATTACTAGGAGTTGCTCCTTTATCAAGCGATCGGGCTTCTTCTCCACTAGCCATTGCTGTCAAAACAACCAAAATTCTCATTAGAATAAAGGCAGAACATTGATTAATACAGGAGCGACTCAAATTCTTAGTTATTACTCCCTACAACACTAAATCTCCTCTTACTGTAAAAAAAAAACACTAAATCTCCCCTGTACAAACCGCGCTACCCAGGCAATGATAAACCTACATTCATTAGACACAATGATAAACCCACCTTAATCCCCCGCTTCTTTCTTCTTCCAACCTCCCGCCCGCTCAGCAACTCAGCTCAGCAACTCAGGGGAGGGAGACGCGTGCCGGTGCCGGAGACGCGTCGCGGAGCAGCGGCGGAGTAGTGGCCAGCAGAGGAGGGAGAGGAGCAGAGGCCGGAGAGGAGCAACGGAGACGCGTCGCGGAGCAGCGGCGGAGGAGGAGCGCAGTGAAGGAGGAGCTCAAAACCCAGGAAGCCTTGCCGCCGGTCGCTGGTCACGGGCTCGGCGTTCCTGGTCGCAGCCTCGCCGGTCGCCAGAGGAGGAGCGCCGGATTGAAGAGGAGAAGAGGCGAATCGCAGACTGGAGAATTGCGAAGAAGAAAGGAAACGCGGCGGCTGATTTCGTTCGATTAATTAGGGTTTTGAGTTTTGACAATTCGACTTTGTTTTATTTTTTCTAAACTGCTAAACGACGACATTTTCTTTTCCATGACCCTGCCCCCGGTTAGACCAAAACCGGCCGATATTCCGTCTTAAACCGGTTAAACCGTTTAAACCGGCCGGCGCGGTATTTTGCACCCATAAACGGTATTTTGCACCCATAAACGGTATCGTACCGCCCGCGCTCCGGTATCCGGTTTTACCGGTTCAACCGGCCGGTATGATCCGGTTTCCTTTTCCATGGTTTTTATACGATTCCATGCACGGTTCAAAAATGCCTAATTATTTGTAAAACAATGTTGTTTTATGCTGACTGGTAAAAAAAATGACGGTCGCTCGCCTTTAGCTATCATCGAGAGAGAAGGGAAAAGAACCCTAAATCGGTTTCTCCATCTCAAACTCACCAGCCGAGCCGCCCTCTACCTCACATCCTCACTCTCCTTCAATCTTTCCCGGCGGAACTCACCACGTCTCTGACCTGCCTTCCACGCACCCTTGTCTCCAGTCTCCACCACCAGTCTAAACGTCACCGGTTCACCGCCACCGGCCACACCTTGCAAGGTAAGGAAGGCGATTGCCTCCTAATATCTCTCTCCCCCAGATTTCTATTGTTTTGCAGGTCTTGCCCGCTAGAAAACTGGTATAGAGCTCACAAGGATGGAAGCCTCTTTAAGATTAGACTCAGATTAAGCGGCACTGGGGGTGCAATATCTGCATCTTTAGTTTGTAATTTGGTTACTTTGTCATGTTAGTTGTTATATTACATCTTCACCTACTTTGCTTGTGTTGGATCGATCTTAAGAAAACTAGAGTTTAGGGTCACTACTGCTTGCCACAAATATTGGAGTACTAATTAAGAGACGGCAAATTTAGATAATTCATCGTATTCAGTTTGCCACAACTACATACATCTTGAAATCTAATATACTGACTTAGGGAAGCAGTGAACAATGGATGTTTGATATATATGTAAGTAGGTGATATAAAATTATCTCATAATGATTTCATACTGTGTTTTAGGTTGGTTTTCCAATTGCTCAAAAACATAGACGTGATTACTATTGAATGATTTTATATGCTTGAATGTGATAAAAGCAATTGAATATTATGACTTGTGATTTTGTTCTGATTTAGATTTACACAAATTAGTCGATGGGCTGAATTACATTGTACACATGAATTGTAGGTAGTTATTCACTAATCTAAAATTTATATACTCACGCTTTATATATTATATGTTATGCTTGACAGATTTTTAGTTATTTTACAGGATGCATTAAAAACTTACGCTTTTACCCTTCGATTCTACGCTTTACGATTTTACCCATTCATCGCTTTTAGGTAGAATCGCGCTTTTGACTGCATTGGCTGTGCTCAATCCGAGCTTATCCACCGTTTCTTGACTGATGACATTTGCACAACTCCCTCCATCAACTATCAACGAGAGGAGTGTACCTTTCACAATACAGCGAGAGTGAAACAGATTCTCCCGCTGGCTGGTGTCTTGGTCCTGCTCAAGAGTAAGGGCCCTCCTAATAACTCCTAGAAGCTTTCCATGTGGGCAGCTTCCATCTAGATCTCCTCCTCGACTTTCTCCTTGTCACTGGAGCTGGATTGTTCTTCGTCGGTGAGGTAAGCACCATCTCGGAGTATCAGGGTCTTCACATTGGGACACTAGTTAGCCTTATGGCCCCTACCATGTCACTTGAAGCACTGGATCCCTCCAGAACGCTCGATTGGAGCTAGATTCGAGCTCCTGGGAACAGGTTTTGTGAGTTCAGGCCGTGTTTGAGTCAAATTGGATTCACCAACCACCTCGACTATCTGTTTGTTCGCCGGAGCAAACTTCCAGCTAGTCACCCCCTTTTGCTGTTTCTCGATCTTGATGGCAAGGTGCAAGGCTTCTTCTAGGTCTACAAAGGACCTCAAGTCGAGTTCTTGCCGGATTTCTTGATGCAATCCATGGAGAAATCGAGCGATTGTCGCCTCCCTGTCTTCTCGCACATCAGCTCTCATTAGGAGAAGCTTCAATTCACGAAAGTACTCCTCCACGCTCCGTCCTTCTTGTCGAATCGCTTGCAACGATTCATGGAGCTCCCTCTAATAGTACGCCGGCATGAATCGATCGCGCATTAATCCTCGTAGCTCTTCCCAGTCCGTCACCTCTTGCTGCAAGTTCTGTCGTCGTCGGAGACGAATTCTTCCCCACCATTGTGCAGCGTAGTCTGTAAATTCGAAGGTGGCTAGAGCTAACTTTTGCTGCTCTGTATAATTCCCGCACTGGAAGAAGAGGATCATCTTTTTCTCCTATTCCAGGTATGCCAAAGCATTGATCGTGCCTTGAAACGCCGGGACGTTCAGTTTGATCCCGGGTGGGATCGCTGGCTCAGCTTCATGATTCTCGCGTCACTATTGACGGGGTCGGTCGTGATTGGGTTCTGCTACCGTAATTCGACGTTCCAAATCCTCAATCCTATCCAGCAGCTCCGGATTACCTGCTGGGATTGCATCGCCGGGAACTTCCCTCTCTCCAACTCTGTTCTCCGGCTGGGCAATGGCGTCAATCCTTTGATTGATTTCCTGTCTGAATTGATCCAGGCTCGTGTCAAATCGCGGCATCAATTCATCGATGTAAACTCGCTGTCCCGCCATTGGTAAGGCCACGACCTCAACCTCTTCTTCTTCCTCTGGTTTCTGGCGTATAGTTTCAGGGTCGTCAGAAACGGAACCCTTCGATCGCGTCCAGCGCATTTTTCCAGCAACGTGCGTCTTCGTCCTGCCCACTGTTTGTGAACTGGGCTATGATTACCACTTGATAAATCCCTAGATGGGAGGTTTGATTCAGAATCACGTCACCAACCCTCGATCCTTACACTGTATCGAAGTTTGATCGGCTGCACACCAAAACAGAGTTTTGGTTCTTTGTTTTCGGATGGAACTCTCGTGCAGCCTTCACGAAGGAAAGGAAGCTCGACAAGTATCAGTCGAGGCTTGGCCACAACTAGGGTGAGTACCTAGTTGATACAAGCTCAAGAACCAACCCAGAATCGACTAGATTGACCTCGCAATTCATAAGCAAAAACCTTATGAACCCAAACTTGACGTTTGTGAATTTTAATTGAAAAAAAACTAACTATAACATCGCAAACTGAGTTTACATAGGCTAACAAAACTTACAAAGCAAGTAATCAACATCCTAAACTAGTAACAACTCAAAAGGAAAACGAATTCAACTCAAAAGAGGTAAACAAATCAAACTGGTCAGTAATCCTAATCCGAATAGGATTCGGATTCCTTGCTCTTCCAATCAGCATCTTCATCGTTGACTCGAACTTCAGCCCCTTTGCTCGAGTCCTTCCAAGCATCAGTATGATCAACCAATTCCTCGTCGTTGTATTAGAAAATGCGTACTTTCGTGATGTATGAACGTTGAAGCTCGACTCTCATTCCAACTCTTCGAGTGAAGCTTCCAAAACTCATTCCCGAACTGGCTCCCACACTTAGAGTTTTCCAGCAGTT